TCTCTCTCACTCCCTCACCCACTCACTATCACATTTGCCTGAACGATGACAGATGAAATGATGACTTTTTGTCGAATACTTTGTCCACTTAATTACTATAACAGAGTCATTTTTGAGTTTCTCAATTAAAATGTTATGAATGGTATTTTGTGCCATCGTTCGTTCTCTCTCGTGTAAATGTAAATAGTCACTACTTAAGTGAGGCGATTAAAATTTGATGGCACAAAAACTGGCACTTTGGCGCGCACGAAAATAATTGTGAAGCAGAAAAAATGCAAAAGAGAGAGAGAGAGAGAGAGAGAGAGAGAGAGAGAGAGCGGAAAAAAGTATACGTTCGTATGGAATAGCGAAAAAAATGAGTCGTTTTGTCACCAAACGCAACGAGAGAGCGATATCAGTGAAGTCTTTCAATGCAGTAAAAACAATGCAATGTCATCCGTTTGCGATAAAATAAAAAGTCCACAGAACTTCGGGCAAAATAAAAGAGTTGTAATAAAAATTTGTCGACATTTATTGACAGTGACTCGAGCAATGTGATTGCATTGAGAGGTCGGAAAAAGAACAATGTTACTCTTTAATAGATATGCACAAGCCCATAAGCCTCGTTTTGCTCTCCATTGCTGCGCGAATGAAGACGATGACACACAAAGTCCATCTAAAATGATGAATATTTCCAACGAAAAGTTCGCGTGGATGAAAACATTTCAAATAACGAATAAATTGCAGTTAAATCGCTTTCAATTTTTGCATGACTTCTTTTTTAACACGTTTTTTTGTTCGGGTCGTCTATCATATAACACATCAAGTTACCCAACTAGAACCAGTTTGATATAGTTTTTGGACAGATAATAGTTCTGCGAATCTACCTTACGTCGCTTGAGTTCAATCGCTTAAAATATGAAACTGTTTGCAAAGCTATACATATTTATTTTGAGCCATTTTCCAAGCATTCATATTTTTTCCATTGCAATGTTTTTATTTTCTCTGTTTCTCTCCCTCTCTCTCTGTCCCATTCATAAATTATTTCGCAACAGTTTTACCGTTCTATGGTTTTTATTGTTGTTGGTGCTGCTGGTCACAATATCTGAGATAGGTGACAATATCTGCAACAGATATGTAAAAGGACACCATTCGCTGTACATTCGTTTCACAGCACAAAAATGCCAACAAATCTAACCGAAAATATAGATAACGGCAAGAGCAGCAAACAAACAAACCGACACACACACTCACAGAGAGCGAGAGAGAGAGAGAGAGAGAGAGAGAGAAAAACAAAAAGAGAACGTTGTTATGATGCCACAAGCGAATCCTGTGTGTAGGGTCAAAATTGTGAAACATACCGCTTTTTCTATAATAATCGTTATCTCATTTTAGTTTGTTCGGTACGGTTTTGGGTCGCCATGAGCAACATTGCCACACGACAATCCAACATAATTGATTGGGCCACAAAAGAACCAGAACAGACTTTTCATAATACGCTGTCATGCACATATACACACACAACAAACAAATGAAAAAATGCTAACGAAATTCCTTTGAAATGCCATAATTGTGCAACATCAAAAATTGAAACCAACAAATGCATTCCGAATGTCGACGAGAGGTAAATTGGCTGAATTCGAAATGAATTCCATTGGGGATTTGGTGCAGATTAAATTTGTATAATGAAATTCGTCTTGTTTTCGTTTTTCTTTTTTCACTACTAGTAAACCGCCAGTGTGGGCAATTTTTTCGGTACAATATTCATACTTGTGTAAGAGATTGAGAGAGAGAGAGAGAGAGAGAGAGAGAGAGAGAGAGAGAGAGAAAATCTTTTTTTTTCTAGTTTTTGTCAATGCATATGCTTTTGATTGTTGCCATCTGAATGTTCATTTCACACTTGGCTTTGTCATGCAACTACAACAAAAAATGGAAAAACGTTGTTCCAATGGTATGCAAGCATCCAAACTTTCTACAAACATCAAAGGTGAATCTAGAAGAATTTATTGCAATGATAAAAAAAAGTTTGGTTTCTTCCGTGAATTTGTTGACTTGTTTTTTCCTCTCAGTTCACAAAAGTTCACGGATATATTACACGAACGCGGCCGAAAACGCAAAGAGCAAACATTCTGGTGATGAAGAAAACGAGATTTTCACCGTAGAATTTCCGCAACAACAATTTATCAATGTTTGTTTGGGTTCACATCTTTGTTCTATTCAAAATTGGATTGGATGTCATAGCAAACTGGTAGTCATTAATCAAAAATTTATTCTTATGAATTCGTGTCGACGACACTACACTTTCTGTTGCCGAATGAATCGTCGCGTTGTATTGACATCAATCTCTATGGTTTTTTTTGTGTACGTGTCTAGCTGCTCGCTTTCTTTTTCTCTTTTGTTCGATTTTTCCTCGATTTAATTTAAACGCTCAACAACGACGAAACCATAAAATGATAATCTATTAAGACGCGAGAGAAAATGTAGAATTGTTCGATGAGCAACGTTCGTACGTTGTTTGCTAGGGGAATATCACGCTTAAATTATTTCAAATATTTCAAAAGAATCCAATTTATCTCTAAGAATCTGTCGTATGAAATATGGTGGATATTTGTGAATACGGCAGAATATTGTGGATTTTTGTGATTATGAATGATATTTAAATGTATTTACTTGGATTTAATGCAAAAAATCTCAAATATCTCCAAAATCCACAAAAATCTGATTTATTTATTCGAATTATTCGAAAATATGTCATACAATTGATGTTTATTTCAAATATCTCAAATATCTCACAAGATTCAGGAGCGTGATATTCCCCTAGGTTGTTTGTGAATTCTCAATGTTAGAAATAAATGACTTTTATAGAGTCAGGGGAGGATTTTTAACTGAGAACTTAAAGTGATTTACATGATAATCACATCAATTTCAAATAAATAAACCGGAAAAGATCAAGATTTTCGCATTTTTTTGATTGATCTAAATATGAAACCTCCTTTGAAACTGGCACCGTTTTAGAGATGTCCAAATATTGTACATATCGAAATGTCTATGCATGCGGATCGATATTCTATGGGGAAAGAGAGTGGGAGAGTGGTGAGGAGTATTTGTATAGAAATATCCGCGTTTCACATTTTTCTATCTCTGTTTCATATCGATCAAATTCTCAACATTTTTTTTTATATCAAATCTGAAATCGTTAGCTATTTGATCTCGTTACTTCTGAATAACAGAAAAGAACGAACCAGTTTCGGAAAGTTTAACGTCATTTGCATTTTGTCCTCAATTTGAAACTAAAATCATTATCAATAAGCTTTGCAGAAAAGTATGTCATTTGTCCGTTGGCGTTGCAAACACTGAAAAGTATGCATGAATTCGAGCCTCAGATGCATTTATTCCATGTGATTGAGTTAGAATTGGTTAAGCTGGAAAACGTGGTATGGAGCGAGCGAAAGAGAGCGAAAGAGAACGAAAGAGAGAGAAAAGAAACAACATTCAACCACTGGAATGGTCAGCACATACTAGAATGTTGGCAGGCAGCCGTTGCCTTAGCCCCAAAAACGACACTGAAACTCAAAACCCGAAACATACACACTCACACTCACACATTTTCTTATTAAAGAACCACGTGATGTCCAGTTGTCCAGTAACTATCAATATGTGAAATATTGAAAGGCATATCGCCCCAAAACATTAAATTTCGAAGCGCAACCACAAAACTCGTTTAGTGAACGGGTTTTTTTTTATTAAATAACACACTGACCACTAGCGAGTTGAAAAACTGTTGGTTACGGAGGAAAAAAATTTGGTTAGCAGAAAAAATATGACCCCGGCAATTTATTTTACTCATTTTTGATTTAACCTCAGTTGTGAAGCAGACATTAGGTCCCGCCGGAATCGAGATGGAGAATGAGGGAGACCGAGTGAGAGTGAGAGAGTGAGTGTATGGCATCCCATAAAATAATGCATGACTATCCTATTCCAAGCATATTTCAAAATTATCTGTGTCTTCAATTAGACAAAAATTAAGTTTCATGAGGAATTGGTCGAGTCGAAAGCCGCATTTCGTTCTAGCAAAAATATGTGGGATATTGTGATGTGCGCAGCATCTCGAGCACTTGGATGTTGGTTTCACTTCCGCTTGTCCACAACATATACATATATACGCTGTACGTATTCACTTTGGGCATTTGTTGTTTGGTGTTGACATCGTCGTTGCTCATCAATTTGCCGCCCGATACCAGTATATGGAGCTTTCAGTTTTACATATATGATGATTAAACTGAAATTGGTTTGTATATTGTTGAGAGCTGCTTTTCGATGTGCGATGCCAAAGCCAAACTTTTAATCGTTTATCATCGTAGTATTGGTGCACTTTCCTTATGCACTGCTTCCATCCACACTCAATTTCTTGTCACACTTACTCTCTCCATTTCCCTCTCCGTCGGACTCTTTTTTATTATTATTATTACCATTTGCATTTCTCTTGCTAATTTGACCATATTCATTCAACATTGCACAGATTTGCTACATGCGGTTTTTCTGGTGCTGTCTTATTTTACGAGAGTTTAACTGGAGCTGTTCTTGGTCTCTGGTTGATGACGTTTTTTCTCATGATTTCGCATTTTAATCGCTTAAAATGATGTAAGTTGGGAAAATTAAATTGCATAAATTGTAAGTGAATATCAACAGAATGAGTTCCTCGAACTAACAAACTAAATTTTCTGGCACATGCAAATGGTTTATGTACGTAGATTATGGTAAAAAGAGAGAAGTCAGACTCTCCCAGCTTCCCTAAGCCATCTACACATTTTAAGTTGTCAAATAGCGTGTATTTCGTTTATTCCAACTAGTCGATGGATGAGCTACAATTTTCAATTTGGAATACGATAGAAAACACATCAAATTTTAATTTGATTTTAGTTCTAAAATTTGTTGGTCGAAATCAAAGATTGTTATCCAACTATATAGATGTTCTTTTTTTGTGTGTAGGATAGATAGTTAAAATTCTGCATAAAACTTACCACTAAATTATTTATCGAGAGTTTTAGCTCAACTCGAGGTCGTGATGGTGGTGAACTGCAATTGGCTATCAATACATCGCCTGGCTCGTAACGTTCACGATCGGTCCAAAGTATAGGCTTGGTCTCAGGTAATTCTGTATTTACAAAAGAAAACAACATTAAATGATCGATTCAATTTCATACAATTTTTATTTTCAAGTGAAAAAAGTAGAGGGGAAATAATGTGGGTAGAAAATTTGGTGACCATCCTTGAATTTAAAAGCAGCCGAATAAATGATCTGCATATTTTGTATAGTAAATTCGATTTACTTTGCTTTAAAACGAGGGAATAAAACAACATTCCATCAATATGTGCATGGTTCGGTTTACCTAATTCCGATAATTGCAAAGTAAAAAGTTGAAAATAAATTGTGAAATTCTCATTGACGTAAACTCCGTCGAATAAAATGTATCGTTGTGTTCGCATGAGACACACGGATGTTGGTGTAACGAACGAACAAGAGGACATTAAATCTAATTTAAATGGCCTTAACTTTTCTGTTTCGCCAACATTCTTTCGTTTCACTTTTCCGTCGCTCCTTCTACTGTCGCTGTTCTTTTTGTTTTCAACGCATTTGTTGCCCTGACTATTACACTTCGTTTGCTTTTATCACAATCGACCGAGTTTTAGTGCGGATGTTGGTGTTTTCCAAAGACGCATTCATCTTTTTTTTCTCTTGGTCATGTCGCACGAGCAAGGAAATCAAAATACCTTCCTCGTTTTAGTACTTCACTTCGCCATTTTTCTGTTTGGTTCAACGCAATCGCGTGCATTGTGCGATAAAAGACCCGGAAAAAAGCGAAGGAACTCAATCGTTGCTGTGGCAAAACACGGAGAGGGAAACAGAATGAAAATTAAACGGCCACGCGAAATTGCCCACACATATTCGACCAGAAAAAAAGGGAGTTTAAAACAGCCTCAGAAGTCATTAAAATTTTTTTTTTTGCCTCTTTGTAATGTGTGTAATTTTTTTTTTGGACTTTTCATTCTCATCGCACGCAGACTTTTTGTAGTCACAAAATGGCTAAATGTGTGACGTTGTGCGTCCAGTGCGTAGCTGCGGTTCTTGTAGAAGAGATAGCCAACAATATTCAACAACTAAATTATATCATCGTTAAGATCCGCTTAACGAAGAAAGTGAAAGCATGTCACGATCTATATCCACGGAAACACGATGAAAAGGCATTGAGACGAGAGAAGAGAAAAAAAAACGAACTGAACAGAATTTACAATTAGCACGTGCTTCGGAAAAAACGAAATGCGTCAAATTTATTGAACAATGTGAAAACAAAAGTGATCAACCATTTCGTACAGATTGGGGGCGTGTAAACAAAAAATTGACTCTAGTTGTTTTACGTTCCATATTTTTTTTCTGTGATGTTTCATCGTGTACACGAGAGCATGGCAATGCAATATTCGTTGAGAACTATGACTATAGTTGAAGTGACGACACATGGCATTCGTTTCAAGTGTGTGAGCACGGTATTGATTAGCCTTTTCACAACATGTTCAAAGTGATTCCTCACATTTTGTTGTTATTGCTGCTGCTACTACTACTACTACTACTACTGCTGCTGTGCACACGACGATGAACTACTTAAAATTTGTAAAATATTTAATAAATCAATCACATCGTTTTCGCCACTTTCAGAGCAAACACATAAACCATACGATATATCACAAGCCACAACAAGTCGAAATGTATCGAACGTTTCCCAAACACATTTATCACACGTGGAATCACTTAAACCAATAACTGGGTTATCACATACGTACGCGCAGAGTCATCGAGACGAGGAAGAAGAAGAAGGAGACGATGAACGAAGAAAAGAGACTAGGAAGAAGGAACAGAAAAAGAACAGTAGTTGTGAAAAGTAAAACAACGCAATGTTACATGCAAACCATTAGTTTAGTCAATTTTTTTTTTCTTCTCTTCATTCGTCCGAACGTTTCTCCTTCGATCGTTTTCTTCGATGCAGTGTCGTTTCGTAAGATTCCATCCGTTTTTCATTTGTTCGCTTTCGCTTTCACTTAATAATAATTTACGAACTCTCTATGAAACCCAATATCCATTTGAATATTTTACAGCCATTCTGGTATTGGTGTGATAAAAGAATTTAGATTCTTTTTTCCTATTTTATTTATTTTTATTTCATTCAACTGTTTTTCCCATGGTCTACTTTTTTCTGCCTCGACACACAGACAGAGAAAAAGTGAGTGAGAGAGAGAGAGAGAAATAAATATATATGGGAAAATCGGGAAAAAACGAACCGTAGAGGGGAAAGAAAATTGTTTCTAATATGGAAAGCAATAAACTAACAGTGAAAATTCAAAGTGAATAAATTAGAGGCACAGAACAGGAGCTGTTGTCTAACACCAAAAACAACAACATCAATAGCAACAGCATCAACTACCTAAACAATATATATAGAACAGAGTCAAGGAATTTATCTTCTTTCTACCGTTGGCTTTTGCTAGACACCAAACAAAAACCAACAAATATTTTAAATATCAATGCAATCTACCTTCTCGCTCTCATTGGTGAATGAATATGTAAAATTTTGTGAAACATTACTGCACACCTTTTTTGACAATTTCCAAGAGAAATAGCAGCATGGCATCGAGTCGACACACATATACGTACACAAATATTTTCTCTCTCCCGAAAAGTAGCAACAGCAGCAGCAGCAGCAGCAGAAGAAACGGCACCAATTCAAAACCGAACGCAAAACGAGAGAAAATTTACTGGAATGTAATACAAACGACAAATTCCTTTCGACTGTCGTAAAAAACCGCAACCAACAAATTTCGTCGTTTTCATTGAAAACAAATGTTTGGCTTACAGCAAAGCCATCGTTCGACATGAACTAAATTGGTTTGCCCCAGCGCCTGCCAACATCCATACCGAATTGTGTGTTTCATTTTAGCGAAAAAGAATTCCAATAGGGAAATGAGAGCAAAATGATTTCTCTAAGCTCAGTTGCTTGTTACTTGTTTTCTTTCCCTCTTGTTCTATCTCTCTTTCCTCAATTCTTCCTCTTCTTTTTCTTCTTCTTCTTTCGTTTATTGTAGGTGTTGAAGTCTATGTTCAGTGCGATTTTTTTTTCTTTTTTCCGCTGCTCATTTCGCTCATTTCGTTTCGTCGTTTTTCCTGTGCACGCATTAGAACGATACATAGCAACACGCGTAAGCGTAATAGCGAAGTAATTAAAAATAATCTATCTTTTGGTTACGTTGGCATTTTTCTTGTGCTCCGCTTGTTGTGTGTGAGTGTGTATGTATACGCTTCGATTTTTCAGACGCTTACGACGCAGTTCAATCTGGCGTCAGAACTCAATAACTTAAGCCAGCGCTGCTGCTGTCTCTGGTGCTGATTCCTTTTCTTCCCCTCTAAATGCTACTCTGTTGCTTGCTCTTCATTTCCTGTTCGACGACAACGACGACGACGGCCGAACGCATTGCAAATTAGCAGAGAGAAAACAATCAATGGGAAGGTCAAGTCAGGAAGATCGACCCCGGCAGCATTGAAGACAGCTAAATGGCGATGTCGATCGAAAATAGATTTAAATTTGTTTTTACGCGGCAACGCGGCGAAAAAGCTATACCGACTCATTTGTTCTTGTTGCGCACCCAATATTCCATAGCATGCCTTTCTACCAAACACAATCATCGGCTGGATGGTACTTTTCCATTCTCCGGAAAAACATTTACATTTATCTCTGTTTTCTTTGAGTGTAATCGCATTCATCAGTTTCACCTTTACGTCTTTTGACTGCTAAAAAACGGCATCTACAGAACATTCCGACTGTTTGTGTATGTGTACGGGTGTGTTGACGCGCCATTTCTATTCCTCCCCCCTCTTTCTCCCCATCTCTTATCGTTTTCCTCTTTTGCAGCGCCTTCGTTGTAGTGTCAAATTAATTTAACTTTTCGTTGACTTGAAATTACTCGCTGCTTTTTTCTTCTGCTTTCATATTACGCATATTCGGTATCTTTGGCGTTTTAGCATCGCTTCCATGATTTTGCTTTTCATCATATTCCTTGTGCGAGTTCACTTCAGTGCCCATTTTGCAGGCAGAATGGAACAGCGAAGATGGCAAAAAAAATAACAGCAAAAACCGTGTGCTTGTTACACACGTTAAGAGGAAAAACATTCAATGGGCGAAATTATCAGGAAAAAAGGAACATTTTCAATGGTGATTTTTTTGATGTGCCATGATTAATATTTACTAAATGACATCAGCTTTGAGTTGATCGGATGGTGATTTGTGGTTTTGGTTCTGTTCTGATTTCGGTAGTGTATATTTCCACAAAGGAACAAAACATATGACAGCCGAAGTTCATGGGTTTTTTTTTCCTTTCTCCTTTGATTCCAAGTATTATACGAAACGTATAAATCTTGTTTGCAAATGAAGTTTGGTTTCATCAAAGGGCCATTCTTGAAACATGTGTTAATTGAACGAATCCCAAGAACTACAGGCCATTCAATGGATGGTAGTTGTGTAATAACACACAAAAGAGCCATCAAAATACATTTCAATATTACATTTCCGAAAATTCGGAAAACCATTCGATTCCCTTTTCATCGATTTGATGGCGTGAGCGCGTGTGTTCTATGCAAAAGATTGCTGAAGGAACACAGAGGCCAGAACAAAAAACAAACCGATTTGCGAGCAGCCGGGCAAAGCACAGAGTGAATGCATACGAAAACGAGAGAAAAAAAAACACACACACACACACGAAATACATAAATAACATGACTTTGAAAGGGTGAAATGATTTTTGTTCGAGCGTCGATAACCTATTCATTCAAAAATTTGCACTGACTCCACGTACCCAATTGATATTCAAAGAGTGGAGCAGCAGTCCGCACATGCACTGATAAAGTTATCTTTTGTAGTGAACTTTGGCCAAGCCGTCGAAATATTTGATCTATAATATGCGCGCTCGCCACCCCTTTATCCCGTCGTTATCTGGACCGCATCAGGCCATTCTCTCTCTCTCTCTTCCTTTGTGTGTTCAACGATCACAAACAGACAAAGACCACAAATCACAAAGGAGTTCATCGATTGTGCGTTCGATTCGCGGATTTGA